GGGGGGGGCAGAGCTTGCCCCGCCAGCCCTTGCCCGGCAGCTGTCTGGGCGCGGGGGGCCGGGGTCTCACCGGGGTCTCACCGGGGTCTCACCGGGGTCTGGCCGGGCTCTGCCCTTGTTCTCGTGTTGTTGGGTTTTCCTTTGCGAGGCAGAAAAGCTTTAGCCCGGGGGTTTTGCCGGAGGCACCGGCTGTCCCACTGCGCCGCGCCAGTCCGGGACCGTTTACCTCACTCACATCACACTTTGCACTGTACATTTATTATTATTATTATTATTATTTTTTAACTCGTGTTACCTCCAGACAGACGCACGGACGCCTGCCGACGCGAGCTTTAGTGAAACCCCCCGGCACTCTCTAAAGGAAAAAAAGATAAAAAAAAAAAAATTGGAAATCGGGAGATATTTTATTCATTTAGATCCTTTTCCCTCCCCCTTTATTTTGAGAACTACACTCACTATATGGGATTTTAAGAGGTTGTTGTTTGATTGTTTTGTTGTAAATAGCTTCTATTTTATTCTCTAAAAAGAAAAGAAAAGAATCGAACTTTAACATGCAAATGATATATATTAGCGTTCATCAGGGAAACGGGAGCTTGGAAACCGCGTAACCTCCTTTCTCCTCTCCTCTCGTTGTCGGTGGCCGGGTCCAGCTCTGCTCCTTCCCCTGGGAACCCCACGGGCGCCCCGGGACCCCGGGGCTTTGTACGGGGCCAGGGGTCTCATCCCAGCCGGGCTGTGCCGGCAGCGGGCAGAGCTGGCAGCCCCCGGCACGGGCAGCTCGCCTGCACGCCCCAGCCTCCAGTTTCCCCAGTCTCTGTGCAGGGGCTGGGGGTCTTTGCCCACCTTTGGGGATGCTGGGGGCGGGGGGCACGCTGCCAGTCCCGCTGCCTGTCCTGCTGCCCTTCCTGCCTGGCCGGCACCTCCCTGGGAACCCGCTGCTTTCAGGCTGTTGCTTTATTTTCTCAGCAGAGAAAATCGAGCTGAAAGCCATTGCCCCCACCCCCAAACCCCCAACTCATGCCAGGGAGGGGGGGCTGGCATTAAACTGCGGCGGCAGTGGCAATCCGGGCTTTACCGCGGGGCTGATTTGCTCAGCAAAGGCAGGATGCTCCCCCCTGCATCCCACCCACCATCCCCACGGGGTTGGGGGGGGAAAGCGGGGCCAGGAGCTGGGCTGCACCAGCAACTCTTTATTTCCCCCCCCCAATACTACTGTGCAAAGCCAACTTGGGCATATTTTCCTCCAAAAATAAGCAGCTTGGTAAGAGCAGGATCCGAGCGATGTATGGGTGAGGGTGTTTCTAGAGGGGACCGGCATAAAATACCCAATTTAGCAACGGGATGCAGGAGCTCATATCCAGGATGAGGATGCTTGGGGGGGGCTGTGGGATGCTCTGGAGGTCCTGAATGACACGGGAGCATCCTTCGGAACCTCTGGCACATCCCTCAGCTCCAGCCCTGAGGATTTATTTGAAGCATCGTTATCTCTCCAGCTGGCCAGGTTTCAATTTTCTGCAATTTTTTTAGACCTTTTTTTGCCCGCCCCCCCCCAAACATTCGCCCACATCTGCGTGAGACACAATCGCGACCCGATACCGAAACCCACTCCCCCACACAACTCGGTATCTCAATTCCTCAGGTTTCAACCTCGAGCACAGGGTTTTTTTCCCCGTTCCCCAGCTGCCTGGGGGGGCGTCCCTGCTGATGGATGCCCCCCCCCCTTTCTTTTGCTTGGGGAAGCGGTGATCTCAGGGGATTTGGGGTTTTTCCAGCCTTTTTTTTACCCCCAGCCTTTTTTCCCCCCTCTCCAGAGCTGGAAATGCCCCTTGGTGGCTCCATGAACCCCATCCCTTGGGGGGGGGGGGGGGGGCGGGGGGGCTCCGTCCGGCTCCTGCTGCTGTTAGGATCCAGCCCAGCTCCCCACAAGGAGAAATCCCAGGGGGTGTTTCTCATGCCCAGGGTGGGCATTAGATTTTCTTAGTGAGTTTTTGCATTTGTACAGTCACTGTTTTGGGTTGGTTGTTTTTTTTTTTAATTATTTTTATCCGCCCCCCCCCCTTCCCTCCCCCTCTTCTTTTTTTTTTTTTTTTGAGAGCGTATTACCTTCCACTTTATTTTTTTTGCATATCAATTTAAAAAAGAAAAAAAAAAGCCTAAATCAGTTTCTCTGGGGTTTGGAAAGAAAAAAAGGAACGGACACAGCTGCAGACGCATTTACCCAGCGTGCATATCTTAACTCAGGTAAAAAATGAAAAAGAAAAAAAACCACAAAAGACAAAAAAAAGAAAAAGAATAAAAACCACATTCTACCTCTGAGAGCGGCGGCCTTGGGCGCACCCAGGCCCCCGGTGAAATATTTCAGTTTTGCAAACATTCAGGTATTGAAACTTTTGATTATTAAAAAAAAGATAAAATAAAATAAAAACACTGAAAGTTTACATTTTATAATAACATTATTATACAGATTGTATTTAAACTTCAGAATATTTAAGACAATTGTAACCCTGTAAAGTTGATGAAATATTAAAAAAAAAAAAAAAAGTTGTGTTGTCTGGGGTTTCTGTCCTTGGGGGTGTCCAGGGGGTGCCCGTCCAGGGTCCACAGGGCTATGAGATACCCATAGAGCTGTGGGGTGTCCGTGGTTCTATATGGTCCCCACAGGGTGCCCATAGGGTTATGGGGTCCCTACAGAGTGCCTATAGGACTATAGGGTGCCATGAGGTCCCTGTGGGGTGCTTTTAGGGCTGTGGGGTGTCCGTGGGGTCCCTACAGAGTGGCTGTAGGACTACAGGGTGCCATGGGGTCCCTATGGGATCTCCACAGGGAGCTTTCAGGGCTGTGGGGTGTCCGTGGGGTCCCTCCGGAGTGCCTATAGGACTACAGGGTGCCGTGGGCTCCCCCCGGGGTGCCCTTAGGGCCGTGCAGTGCCTACGAAGATACGGGGTGCCCAGGGGGTTATGGGGTGCCCGTAGGGCGCTCACAGAGCTGTGAGGTGCCCACGGGGCGCCCACAAGGCCGCGGTGCGCCCGCGGTCCCGGTGCCG